TGAGAGGGAATGTCCCAGAAGAGCTTTGGGCCAGGACCTTCTATTAATACAGGGGGTTCGCGGGCAGGAGAAGCTGTCTCCAGAGCCCGTTCAGAACCCCCTGACACCCCTCCTCATGTTGTCCCACAAATGTTGGTCTGGGTGCCCCACGTCATTGTCAGGTGTGCCCAAGGGCCCCAGTCCAGCCTGGGTCCACCTTATGGTCCTCATTGTAGGGACCTTTCCGTTTTGTTAGAACAGGGAGAGAGGAGTGAGGGGTGCAGGCCAGAATTGGGGGACGGGTGAGGAGCGGTTCTGTACACTGTATTGCTAGTATTCCCTTCACGTTGAACCACACAGGTTATACCCAGGCGTGCTGAGGTCGAGAGAAACACAAGCATTGGAGGAGTCGAGAACAAAGCATCAGATAACGCGCCCATGACCGGCCGTGGCGTGGTGGGGAGGGGGAGCTGCAGACAACTTCCCTCTGATGAAGCTACTTGGTGTGTAGAGACCCACGTGTGCAGAGGAAACTAGAGGAAGCGGGTTTGTCCTGGAATCGGAGGAGGCCACGGTGGGTGGGCATGGCTCCGTGCTCTAGATCTTAAGTTGGGATGATGGGTTCCAGGGATTCGCCACACGAGGGGCCCCGTGATGCCACCGCAGATGTTGGCCTCTGTCTGGGTTTGGCTCCCTCCTCAGTGGGGTCACGGGCACGTGACTGCAGGTTGGCTCCAGGTAGTTCTCCCCTGAGTTCTTTGTCTCACTGCCAGTGTGGCAGCACAATGCTCCTAGGCTGTAGGGCAAGTTTGCTGCAAAAGATAAGATAACTGGCTGGCAGTTTGTTTTCAAGATCAGTCTATAGGTAGCGAGCCTTAAAATAGTGGATGGAAAAAATGGGTCGGTGACAGAATGATGGGGGTGACAGAAATGTGGACGCAGGGAGCGGAAGCTGGATCCCCCACGGCGCTAGCACTCTGCACACACCACTCCGCAAATCCTGGCCATCTCCCCTCCCAGAGCCCAGGCCAAGGCCCAGAGAGGCACAGCCTGCCCACAGGCCGCCCGCCGCTCACCACCCCTGGCCCAGAGCTCACGACGGGCCTCAGTTCATCTCGATTGCACGGCTCGTTGAAGCGAACTGTCAACAGGTACAGGGCATGTCGCCTTACAGTCAATTCATTATGTGGTGAAAAGGCTTCTGGCCAAGAACTTTCAGTGCCTCTTGGGCACACCTCGGGTCAGAATTATGGGAGGGCGCTATAATTCCGTGCCCGATGCATCGTGCAATTATTGGCGGTGAAACAGACCAGTTACATGTCCTTCGCAGATCAATGTGTCACGGTTCTGCGAGAAATCCGACAGAGTTGCCGATGTTACTGATTTGTGCTTTTTCATCCGTGCATCCTGCTTGGAGCTCGGGGCTGACATGGCTCAGCCGAAATGACAGTTTCATTCACAGCACCTTTGTGGAATTCACAAAGAGCGTTTTACCGCAGCAGTGTCGCAGAAAGACGTCCTTTCACGCGGGTGTCGGGACAGAGCGGAGAACGGCGGGCTGGCTGGAGGGAGGGTGCGCGCCCAGCTGCTCCCCCCCCCTTGGGGTGTGCACTGACTCGGTCCCCAGCTGGTCTGCGGTGACCTGGCGGTGAATGCGAGCGATTGTCATGTGTTCGGGGTGGGGCTGGCCACGGAGTTCAATAATTAATTTGCCACAATTAAACCAGAGACTGCTGTCTCCAGCAGCAGATAAGAGCTAACAGCAGGCCCGGGAGAGGCGGCTTTGACAAGCTGGTCGGTGGTGGAGGCCAGGCCTGGCTGGCGCAGGGTCAGATGGGCCGTGTTCTGTGGTGGTGGTCCTGGAGGTGGAGGGTTGCTGCCTGCTCACTCTGGCCCTCTGTCTGGCCATTGGGGCCAACCAGCTGCTTGCCGAGCTCTGACTCGCTTCCCTGAGAAGCAGTCACAGAAGTCAGCGGTGGCACCGGCCGGCCCGGGGGGATGCCTCCTTGGGCAACAGCAGTGAGGGCTGCAGGCTGTCCGATCATCCCCCCAGGAAGACCTTTCTGCAAAGCAGTGACCCCCAAACAGCTGACGACTGCATGCTTGCTGAAGCCCAAGTTCAGTGAGTGCAGGAATCCCCTGATTCCTGTCACCACCAAGTAGGGACCCTCTGTAGAGCCGAGGGGACCACGTCCCACAGAAGTCGTGCTTTGCCTAAGCCAGTAGCTCCAGAATAGCAGAAATGGGGGACGGGAATCCACCTCACCCCTCTCTCGGGGTCTCTCAGCCCGACGCAAACTGCCTCCTCGAAGGAGCCACAGGCAGAGAGATTTAGTTCTGTTTAGTTCTCCGGTCTTCTTGGCATTCATCAGCTTGTGTGGATACACACAGCACACACACAGCAGGCGCCACACGCCACACGCCTGTGCACACATCACACGCTCCACACAGCACATGGCACGCACGCATACACACCCCACCTTTGAGGGACTGGTGTGAACAGGCCACAGCCACCATCATTTGTCCCCAGGGTGTCTGTGGGCTGGCCAGGGTCTCCTGCAACATCCCAAGAGGTCCTTAGACCCACAACACCTGGCCGCCCCAGCCTCCTCCTGACCCGCAAGGTGTCTGCAAGGCCACACGTGGGCCGCAGCCGCCGGGCCAGGCTCATCTTCACAGTTGCCCTGGGACCCCGTGAAACCCCCCCGCAAAGGAGGGGGGTTGTGGGTGGCGGGAGCCATCCGCTGCATGCACCGTTGTTCAGTGGTCTGGTGTGGGTGAGAGGAGTAGGTCACTGGGCTAGTGAGCTGCAGTCCGGCAGGAAGCCGAACCCCCAAACACAGGCTCGCCAGCCCCAGAGTCAGGTCTGCAGACACTCCGAGACCAGGTGATGGGCACCCCTCCTCCAGCGCCCCCGCCCAAGTCGCTGGCCAGCCCGAGCGGGATCTGGCAGTGACCAGGAGTGCTGGTGTGCAGGGTCCCCACCTCCCCTCCTCGGTGAACTCCCGTTTGGCCTTGTCCCAGGTCAGAGAAGAGACCAGTGTGTTGTTGCAGGCACTTACCCTCCCCCCCGCCCCCCCGCTCACTCTGGAAGACTAGATGGACTCATGGACCGCCATGGACAGAGGGACAGGCAGAGAGCAACTGCAACGTCAGGGGTGGCCTGGGCTGGCGGGCGGGGCCAGGACCCAGGGCCGGGGAGGGCTTCTCAGCCTTGGCCCGAGGACCTCTGGTCCAGACCTCGTGTGGTGTCCCCAGGGGGAGCAGGAGGACATCACCCCGCTCCTGTCCATCCCGCCCTGGCCATCTGCTCAGGGGAGCTGGGGCAACAGTGAGCTCAGCCCTGACGCAGGTGTCAGGAGGTGGCTGAGTCTTGCGCCCCATCTCCTGGTGGCCCCGATCCTTCCCGGCAGCGAGCCTGCTTGGGAGCTTGAGGAAAGGCACCCTCAAAGTCCTGCTTCTCCTCAGGGTTCACGGACGGTCAAAGGAGACTCGAGTCCACCCAGCGGGCAGGGGCGGGAAGCCACACAAGCGCCCCTCCATCCCTTCTCCAGAGGGGACATTTCCGCCCTCCCCACCGCCCCTCCCTGCTGGAAGTGCTTGTTTTCCCCGCCGGCCCCTGGCGCTGCTGCCCCTGGAAGGCCCCCTCCCCCGTGGAAGGCCCCCTCCCCGCGGTCTGGGGACACCTGACTTATTTATTTGCTCAGGCCGGGTTGCTGGAGCACAGGGTGAGTTCGGGTCTGTTAAGTTTGCTCCTTTTCCTGCCTGGGAGCCGGGTAATGAGTAACGATAGCGTGCCACAGGCAGCTGTCCCGACTCACCCAGAGACGCCGTGGGAGCCGTATAAGGGAGGGTTTGTTCTGGCCCTTCTCAATAGTTCCTTGTGCAGGAGGCAGGGTGATGGGAGGGAGGAGCGAGGGAGAGAGGGAGAAAGACCCAGACACTCAATCACCGCGCTTCTGACAATTCCTCTCTCCTCTCCCCCACCCCCGCCATGTTCCCCCCACTGTCACCCCCTAAGGAACTGAAGACTTGAAGACTCTTCTCACCAGCCCCGTGAGCCTGGGGACAGGCTCCTCCGAGCCTCAAAGGGCAGTTTTTGGTGAGTCCACGGATGTCCTGGAGCCCGAGGGCTGCGTTTTAACTGGGGTGGTCTGGCACTGCTCACTAGCAGATGACGCTGCCTGCTGTCTTGCAGTTCACATAATGAGCCAGTAAATCTCTGGATACCTGTTCCCAGCGTGACGTGCCTGGGTCTGCTGTAAGGCTTTTCGGAAAGGGCTTTCATAAAGCAGCTCGAGTATATTACGGGATTAGTCAGAGGCCTGCAATCAGCGTGCTCGTGAGGGCCGTGCTTGACTTTCATCACGGGGACAAGAAAGACCAAGAAATAAATATCTTGCTCACTTGGTCTTTGGGAAATCTCCGGAGCGGTCGTCACATCCATCCACTCGGTTCACAGGTCGTGAACACCTGTTGCCAGCCAGCTGCCTGGTGAGGGACTAAGGAGGGTGCAGAAATGCCCGAGCATGTTGCTGTCCTCAAGCTTGCAACATGGGAAGAAACCCGGGAAAGCCCCCGTGTCCTGCGCTAAGGTTACAGCAGATAGACTGGTCTGTGCCCTGCGGAGAGCCAAGCAGGTGTGGAGGGAGAGCGGGGGTGGGCAAGATGGTAATCCTTTAGGCGCTGCAAGGGAGACTCAGCTGCAGGAAGTAAAGCTAAGGGCAGTTTCTCCTCCAGGCAAAGGAAAGTGTCTGCAGAGCAACCGAGGCAGGCAGCTCAGGGTGAGCTGGGGAGGAGAAGGGGGAGGGTCAGCTCTCACGGCAGAGGAGTCAAGACACACAGCTTATCTCAGACCTCGCAGGCAAGGGGAGTAAGACGCATTTACAGGGAAGGCATGGAACCCGTTAGGAGGACTTCCGGCGGTCCCGGGAGGGGAAGTGAGAAAGGGTGGGCCAGGTGGCCAGGCCAGGGGCGAGGAGGGCTTTGCAGCTAGGCAGCTGGCGGAGGGGAGAAGGCCAGGCGCAGAGGCCGGAGAGGCATGGCCCCGGGGGAGCCGCGGTGGGGGTGTGTTGAGTTCCAGAGGCCCGTGGGCCCCAAGGCAGAGACCCCATAACCCGCTGGAAATGCAGATCTAGGGTGGGAGACGTGGGCTGCAATGTCTGTCCCAGCCTCTGGCCAAAGCTGCCACGAGGTGGGAACCCCCTTGAGGCGTGGACCCCAGCGCCCCTTGTCTGGCCTGGTCCGACCCCCCTCGGAAGGTGGGCTCAGCCACGGTCCCTGGCAGGCGCTTCTTCCGACGTGCTGTGCTCTCTAGATCCTGGAAGCAGCTTCCCAGCCCCGTCTGACTTGGAGAGGGGTGGGGTGAGGCTGTCCACTGGGGCTCGCCCTGTCCCCTCCATTCTCGGCCACCCCCATTCCTTGCACAGTTCCCCTCTAAGACTCTCCTCACTCCCCCAATTTCGATGCCGTTGAGCCCATGCTGGGGTGCCCAAGAGGCCACAGACACTCAGGACAGGTCTTGCCCCTTTCTCGTGGGAGGCACACGCCTTACCACTGAGAAGAGCTTTTATTCACTGAATGATTCACAAATTTTCTCAGTTTGTCTCGCTCTGGTTCTTGTTCGTTTGCTTTTTACCACTTCTATATTCCACCTCATGCTTCCTGCTCTGTCAGCTACCGTCATCCCTGCAGACCTTTCTCTTAACATGAAAGCTAGTTGTTATTCCAGGTAGAAGCCAGGCCTTCCAGAAGCTTCTATCTTCTTTCTCAGGATGCTGTTAGGGGATGACGCTTCATTAGCTGGGTTCTTCTAGAGCAGGCAACCGACATGTGGAACCAACATTTCCGAAGCAGAAGGGAATTCCAAGCAAGAGAATTTGCTTTTTGTTCCAGCTGCTTGGAAATTTCTCCCAAAACTCGGAGTGCTCTCAGCTGCAAGGCCATTGCTGAGAGTGCCTGTCTCTTAGTGCATCCAGAGCACCCGCAGTGATGTCCTTCTACCTCACAACAGATTGCTGTGACTCTCCCCACCTTCAATTTAGCATTTAGTTTTGGAATTGAGCTGTTAGTTGCAAATACAGGACACACAACAGAATCAGCATGGACCCATAGCTTTATGGGGAAGATTCTGGGGCAAAAGAAACAACCCAAACTGGGCCCTCCCTGGTGGTGCAGTGGGTTAAAGCGCAGCACTATCAAGCTGGCTGCAGCCTCTTCAGCACATGTTCGATCCCCAGCCAGGGAGTGACCGACATGGCATGACAGACCTCTCCTGTCTTCCCGCTGCTCCCCCTCAGCAGTGGATTTCAGTGGCTCAGCCTGTTCTGCTGCTCGCTCTGTCTCTGGTGACTCCTCTCACTGCCCCTGCACCTCAGGCCTGTACCCCAGCTCTGTATGCATAAACAAATTTTTGAAAAAGCCAAACCAATGCATGAAGTAGCAAAAGGCAAGATGGAGAGAATACCGTGCAGCGGCAGGACACATATGAAGTGCTCTTCTCTACGCTGTAGCTTTTTCTCGCCTTGCTGGGCGTGTCCTCATGTGGCTGCCCGCCTCGCCTTTACTGGCCCTTGAGCTTCCTGTATTCTTTCTGGTTAGAAAAGCCCTCCGGTCTGCGCTTGCACTGGCTCAGGCAGATGCTTCTACTCGGCTTAGAGGCTGTACCCACAGGGAGGGGGAGGGCCGTGTAAGAGCGAGGTTGCCTGGCTGAGGTTGCCGCAACCTCAGAGGAATCCTTTCCAAAGGAAGGGAGGTGTACCAGGCAAACGGGTGTTCATTATGGGCATCAAACAGCAGCTATTTTTAGGAACAAAGAAATCAGTGGTGCAGAGACTTCACTAGGCTCCACAACACCATATTAACATATTCGCGATTTAATAGAAGCTATCAGCTAAGCAAATACGCAAATTGGTGTTTTTACTGCCATTGGTAATTGCAGTGTGAGTGTCTGGAATGGCTCATTATTTTCTGATTGCTGATGGATGACCTTAGTTACTTGATGGGGTGGTGATTGAAGCTGTGTGATAATGAACTGTAAACGAGATGACATAGGCGCAAGCCCAGCTGACGTGACCTTGGGCAGGTGTCTTAACATGCCCGACCTTGTTTCCTTATCTGCGAAAACGGGAATAACGGTATTTGTCACCGCAGAGTGTTGACATGGGGCTCAGGGGGGCATGATGTTTGTGGACAGATGTTGTGTCCTTTGCAGCTCATTGGTTTTCAGTCAGGAGAAGGGGGAAATGCTTCCCACGTTGGAGATGGAGTAAGCAGCTCTGGAAAGGCTGAGTAGTCGCTCAGGCCACACAGCAGAGTCAGGATCGGAGTGGCTGGGTGTCCAGACCCCCGCCTGGTGCTGTCCACATGGCTGGAGACGCGTCAAGAATGGCTGCTGGGTGACCACACAAATCCCAGCTTTGCACAGGGAGGACACGTCCGACTTCACAAGTGACAAGTCCTTGTGGGCCCCCAAACGCTTGGAGCCAGTGGTCAGTGAGGTCATCAGGAACCCGACTTCCTTCACTTTCACTTTTCTAGCCCCAGAGATGCCATCATCCTAGATGGTTGCCACTGGCAACTGAGGCCACATGCTTCTTGTGCACAAAGGGAAAAAGCGAAACACCGCTCATCAGCTTCACAGGTGTCTATAGCTAGCCTGTGTCTAGCGGCTAGACACTGCTATGTCAGGAACACCCCGAACTTAGCAGCTCAGCCACAAGCCTACCCTGGGTTAGATTGAATAGACCCACGGGTCGGAATTTGGGCAATGTTCAGCTGAGTATTTCTTTTGTCTTATGTGGCCTCAGTGGCTGTCCTGGCTACATCTCTGACTCTGGGTGGTTCACCTGAGCTCTTGTGAGAGGATGACGGCAGAATCATACTCTCAACTTCTGGGAATTTTCCAGAGTTTCTGAGGGATTCTGTGGTCCAGAATCCCAGAGACAGAGTTTCCAAGAGACTGCACAGCTCTCGTGATTTAACTTTAGAAATCTGGGAATGTTATTTGTAGCACATTTTCTTGGAGAAGCAAGTCATTAATTTCCAGGCTCAAGGAGAGAGGCAGTAGACCCCACTTCTTGGTGAGAAAAGGAAAGAGTTTTGGGGGCCATCTTTGTGTGCTCTTTGGCCAGACTGGGCCAACTGATGGCAGATTCATGAACCGCTTTTCTTCCAGGTAGTAACAGCTGCTGGAGGAAGGTCAAGTGCTGATTGTCTTGGATGCTCCTCTGGAGTGGTGGGTCCTGGACAAATCAGGGAAGTAGAAAGAGAGCATTGTCTTATTGTATTCCCTGGCATACAGACACGTCAAAAATAAGAGATAGTCTCTGTTGTTCCGCCTTTTAAACAGGTGAGGTTGCACACTGTTTGATAAGTGACAGAATTAGAATTCAGACCTGGGTAAGATGGACTCATTTTCCAGAAACCACATCTCTAACCTACTATATAGATTATCATTCTACACTGTCTCGTAGTACACCTATAGACACACATATACACACAACCCTACCTGGCATGATCTCAACAATAACAACAAATGAGTCCATCTTCATTCATTATTTCAACAAATCTACACTCAGAGTCTCCTCTCCACTGAGCCAGGCCTGGTACATGGGTTAGATTAGAGAAACCTGCTCCAACAGATAATAAATGATCTGTGTGATGAATTCATAAAGCAGGTCATCCGCTGGAAGCTGATAGTGCTGTGGGAAAAGAAAAGAAGACCTACTTGAGGTAGCCTCACCCATTTAGTTTTGATTTTGTTGCCTGTGGCATGTCCATGAAATTCTGCCAAGAACAATGCCATGGAGTTTTCTTCTAGGAATTTTAGGTCTTATGTGTCAGCCCATTTCGAGTTTGTGTGGTATCAGACAACGATTCAGTTTTATTCTTTTGTGCGTGGGGGTTCCAGTTTCCCAAGCCACTCGTTCCACTACCCTCTTCCCATTGTGTGTTCTCGGTATCCCATTGAAGATCAGTCGTCTGTACTGATGAGGGCTTATTTCTAGGCTCTCGTTTCTGTCCCATTGGTCTCTATATCTGTCTTGATGCTGGGACTATACTATTTTGATCACTACAGCTTTGTAAATATTTTCTAATCAG